TACAACAAAAGACCCTGACTACAGTCTTCTGGAAAGGTGTGGGTCCCCGCAATGGGCTAGGAACTGGATTTGAGGATGGCAGAGGTCCACTGTGCGAGTTCCCAAGCCGTCGTGGGCTGTGGCCGAGCCCACGGGGAAGGATGCCGTAGCAGAGGCCACACGCGGGGCGCCACACGGCCCTGCCAGACAGAGGAAATCACCCCGCACCTCCCAGCCCAGCAGCGCCTGGGCTCCGTGCAGACACACAAAGGAACCGCGACGCCTGCGGAGCAGCAGCCCAGGCACGCCCAAAGAACTGCAGTCAACAGTGAACTACTGTTATTGTAAGCCAGTACGATCGGGGTCATTTGTTACACAGCGACAACTGATACACTTGGTGAATGACTGAACCTAGCGGGATCTGGCTTCTCGGCAGAGGGAGCGATCCTACGGTTGCGGAGTAGCTGACGTAAAGCACGTGCGAGCTCCAGAGCGCCAGGCGGCGCACAGCGGCGAAGCTCGCACAGGCGCTGAAGGCGCTCGTGGCCGCAGGGGGACGCGCACCGAGCACGAGACAGCGGAGGAGAATCCCGTGTTTAAAAACATCTGTGACAAAACAAGCCACACACAAAGGGACAAAGACTGCGTGATTCGCTTTTATGAGGTACTTAGCGTAGCCAAATCCATGGGGACGGAGCGGGGAAGGGAGGCTGCCAGGCGCTGGCGGGGAACGGCCCGGAGGTTTGGTTGGGAGGATGCGCGTTCTGGAGACGACGGTGGCGGGGGCCGCGCGGTGAACGGGTGCCACTGAACCGTGCACTTAAAATGGTTACGACGGTAAATTTGGTGTCATGTCTATTTTACCGCACACACCCCCACCTGCCACAAACTATGCACAGAAACGCCCTGTTTCCCGCTCATCGTCGGGGAACGAGGGTCCCCTCGCCACCTTCGCTGTCTAGGTGAACAGAGCACGCGTCCTTGGTTTATTCGCTCCTCTGTTCTATTTGTTTTACTTTGTATTTCTCTCCATCTGGAAGAGGAGGGTCTCGGCCGGTTCCCTGGTCCCCCGCGCCCCCAGGCTCCAGGGCTCTCTGCCTCTGCTGATTTATTCCCATTTGGGCCATCAGGGCACTTAGCTCTCCCGTAGCCTAAAACCAGCCTACCGAAAAACTCCTTCCCTCCATCAGCCAACCTCGCCACCAGCCCCTTCCCACGTCGGCCGCTGGCCCCAACTGCGGGGGCTCCACCCTCCTCAGGCCACTGCCAGCGGCAGGGCCGTCCCATCAACCGCGTGCTCCCCGCAAGCACCTGCTCTGGCCCGGGCCTGGCTTCTGGGAAAGAGCCCTCCGTGTGAGAAGAACACCACGAAACGTGGCCTAGTCACACAGTGGAATATCATTCAGCAAACAAAAAGGAAGGACGCTGACACGCGGGACAACACAGGTGAACCTTGAAAACAAGCTACGTGAAAGAAGCCTGCCACCAAAGACCAGGAATCGTGCAACTCCACTTACAGAAAATGTCCACACTGGGCCAATCTGTGGACGCAGAAAGTATGACAGATTAGCAGTTGTCTGGGGTTGGCAGGGACTGGGAGGGCCGCCGAGGGGCATGGGGTTCCTTGGTGGGGTGATGACAATGTTCTAAGATGGGTTGTGGGGGTAGTTGCACAACTCCGTGAACATATTAGAAACACTGATCGTACGCTGTACATGGGGGAATCGTATGGTATGTGAATTGCATCTCTGTAAAGTTGTTAAAAACAATCCCTGTAGGTGGGACTCCATCAAAAAGGGCGCTTGGATGAGCAGTTTTCTGTACGTAAACAGCTCCACCAAACAGTGGAAGCTTCCTGCTCCTGGATTCAGTTTACTCCTCACAGCAGAGGGGTGGCATAGATCATATGTTGTGAAGTTTTCTAAATTCTAATATCATATTCTAAAAACTGTAGAGAAACCATTTTCAAAGTGTTAAGAACATACTAGTAAATCACCCATAATCCTGCCACCCAAATGCACAACTATTTCCATCCTTGTATCAGTGCCTTTAACACACCCTTTAACTTTCTGCGGTGCACACACCGTGCTCAACACGTGGTGTGCTACTCTATTCCTCCTGGCGGTAGGAAGCCCCCAGCTGCACACCAGATGGAGCCTTTGTAAGGGACCAAAGCACTTCCCAGGGGAAGCCCATAGTGTCGTAGTTAGGAAAACACCAATTTCAATCCTCAGCAACAATGCTCTGGATGGCCACAAGACAATGTTGCTCCTTAAAATGTTCCTACTGCCTTGGTAAAATTAAGAGTGTGATGATGATGTTTTCAAAACAAGAATTTGGAAGGTTTACCCTCTTAGAAAAAAAATTCAGAAAGACTTTCATATATCTATTAGTTCCAATTAATGGATTCAGCAAAGACTATCTTTTCTAAACCAAACAAGGAAAATTTTTCAAAAAAACCCCAACTATTACTCGGACACTGACACTACCTCTATCTAACCCTCAATCTACTTGTCTTTCCTTATATTTCTTTGTCATATGTTATTTATTGACTAATTTTATTTTACATGTTCA